GAACTTTGGGAGTTTTGTAAAATTTTAAGTGCATCACTTTATCACTTTGTAGACACCGGCTTTGTAAACCCACACACGAGCCACCACACAAAGGAGTGCACAGAAAAGAAACACTGGAGGGGAGGAGGAGGACCAAAGCATTCGGCTGTCTGAGGGGCAGTAAAATGAATGCCTACTTTAGGCATAAACTAGGTGCACGTACGCGCTATTTTGCCTAATTTTCCCATTAGTGCTAAGATCCAGCGGATGAGCTAATTTCCCATACTGAATGCATGCCTACGCCAACCCCGACATAACAATAAATAGGAGGCATTCTTACTGCTGACAGGGCGAAAAACTGATGGTAAATAGCATTAGTTAACAAAAATGCGGCAATGATGGGGCTTTCCTACACTAAATCTTAGGCAGTTTAGCATTCTCAAGGCATTAGCTGAACACAACAATTTCACCATTTGGTACTCTCTCGGTCACTAATATTAAAATTCTACAAGCAAAAATTCATCAAAGATGTCTGTGGTCATGTTAATTTCCTTCTACTTTCACTTTCTAATGGCTACTGTACACTGTAGGTTAGCTGTACAAAATGCATCGACATTTACAAATTCTTGCCTTAGCGAGAAAAAGACTACCGTAACTTGAGTCGAGTGTATAAAAATTAGGCTCCCTCGCTGACATGAAAGTGGACCGGTCACCACCGTTGGCATGGGAGTGAGCTCACCACTACGGACACGAGAGGATACTACAATTAACATTACCGAAAATTAGATTCCATGGGACAACAGGAGGCACTCGGAGACGAAATGTGTTACCTACTAAAACAGAAAGAGAGAATGTCCATATTCATTTGCATTGTTAGAAACAATTTATGAGGTCATTAGCAAGTACCAATAGTTGGCACTCAGGAGGGCCATTACTTCCTATTCCACCAACACGTTAGCGAGGAAATTCACTGACCATTAATTAAGCGATAATTTTGTGCTGCAACATGCTGTTATTAATATGCATCCATGGGAAATAAATTTGCAAATGCCATCAACTTTTCCCATGGAGATTAATCCTAACAATTAGCTTCCTATAGAAATGTGAGGAAAGGGAAATTGGACAGTTGGATTGTGTGGAGGAATTCATGTCTAACACCACGACATCTCAAAGGCTTCATACTCACCTCCCCTTGTTGACAAGACTATGACAACGAATAAGTTAGACATTGTACTGTTGCATTCCTGGCTTTGTACTATTAAAGATGTTAAAATAAAACACCATCCTTTATAACACACAGGGCAGGCAAGAATGGTTGATGTTAACATTTTAAACACACCCTTTTTCTCGCTCATTGCTATAACACATTCGCGTGAGCACTTGTGGCAAGTATATCGAGCATATGAGATTGTATTTGAAGCCCAATTTGCCTTTGGACATTCGTCAATCTTGCCTACTCGTCCACATTGCAGAGGGCGCTTGGGTAGTGTCTGTTTTCAGGGTAACGACGTTGCCACCAAAATGTCACTACAGAATGCAACGTCCAGGTCATATGAGATCGGTTAGTAAGCTACCAATTTTCCGGCCGTCTTGCTAAAAATACTTCAAAGTTTCGCGTTGGCGAGTCACTCCACTATACAATGGGGAAAAATGGTTTCCTGAAGGTCATTTGTGCGGCAGGTAAACAAGTTCTCCGTAAATTTGAGCGTCTACAACTCGAATTGCCTATCAAACGGGGGTGAAATTTGAGGTTACGCCAATTGATGCTAAACCGAATAAAAATAGCCGACTAGAAGCAGAAATTCGCACGAAGAATGCGTAAGTATGGCCAATTTTATGACAGACTTTGTTGCAATACCTCCCATTGCCAGACGCTTGTCATGCCGCACATAATTGTAAGATAATAAGAAAACACCTTTAAAACATCCTAAATATAAGCTCCAGTGTTGGGTTTTTTCCCAAGATCTTAAGTGCATGATGCGAAAACACAAAGGCTCAAGGTTTTAAGTATGGATGGTGAGATAGCAGGCCTGTTAAGCGACCGAATGTGTGCCGTGAAAAGGCGTCGAATTTGTTAACAAACGACATCAGCCATGAATAAGGCTTTCACATGTGAATGATGTACGGCATTTCAGGACTCAAAAGAGAATTAATGAATAGTCTACCTTTTTGCATTAATTACACTGCTTTAGGGCTAGGCTAATTAGGCATCATGTCGTTTTGTCCACTCATCGGTATGCATTAAAACACATAAATACACATACGACCAACACTGAAACACAACTGGAGAAGCCAACTAACTAAGTGGCATGAATTGAGTAGGATGGACTAATGGGCCATTTAGGTATAAATCGCATTCGCCCTCCCTCTACCTCCCTGCTTGGTTCCGGCACAGACACGTTTTGCGTCCTAAAGTTAATTGAATGCACACCTATCAGGCGGCGCGGACAGGAGCGTCGTTATTCAACTACCAGCTCTGATAAATTGCGTTGCCTGACTAGTGCCCGTGGTCGATTCTCGTGGCTCCCCATTTTCTCCAACTCCCCCTTCCTTCCCACTGCCACATCTCCACAACACTCGAGGCCCGCGGAACAGATGTTGCAAAGGCTTGCAGATAGCCCTCGACACGATGTCTTGAAAAAGGCGGCCCTCAGCTTCATGATGACAGAGGAAAGTTGAATTTACGCCCTGACTAAAGGTGAGCCTATAACTGATTGGTAGAAATGGCAACGTAATGCGCTTATTCAACCTCTAAAAAAAACAATCTTCAATGACCTCGGAAAAGAGATTATTACGCATAAAATATATCGTGAATTAAAGCTTGATTGAGGGTTAGAAATCAAGAACTGAAATTTCTATTGCTTCATTGAATGGTAAGAAGGATGATAGAGTGAGTGACAAAGCTTACAAGAATATACTTTACAAGTGGAAGGCAGCAGTACAAGAATCAAGAGTTCATTATTCCCCCTGACACTTAAAATTTTGTTTCACGAATTATGGTAAAAACATCCCTCATAAAAAGCAACTAACAAACTGCGATCACTCCAAACTGCTGAACTTTTGGGAACCCAAGTGTTCCAAAAATTAGTGACTGTAACCTTGGTACAGAGAATAAATACCGTTTGTTGCATTAAGGAAACACAGAACCAACGGAATTAATTCCCTTATGGGCCACGACCGTACCATGTGGTAAAATTGTGGAAGCTGAACAGATTTTCATATACATTCTCACATTATTATGCTTGCAGATTGAAGTGCTGCATTAACATGCTGAAGTGCAGACTCAAAGAAAATGGGTCCAACTGGCCTTGGACTTAGAAAAGGAGATACTAGTAAGGACAAACAATTTTGTCCTCAAAAAACAAAGCTAAGTGTAAAGAAAACAAGCAATATTCCATCTCTCCATTGTTCTGCGGGAGTCAGGAGCATACCTCTCTAGTAGAACTAAGTTCCATAATGTCATTTGTAAGCCAGCCAGGTATCCTAAATTTTTCTATTCCAGGAAAGAATTGGGGCACCGCATATAAAATAATGGACACTGTGCGCCCCGAGGCTTCCCACTAGATTAAAGAAGACATTAGATGGGGCTGAGTACTTGTATTTTAGGGGAACAGGAATGAAAATTGACCCTGGTGTGGCCCGAAAACCAGCCCATGCATACGAGGGCATGACGAATATTGCAGTAAACGCTGAACATCAGGTGGTCACATAGCCAAAGTATTGCAGATGCCGTCAGACTATCGAAAATTCTTTTACTACCACTAGCTGTTCCTGTACTATGGAAAGACTAACCTTTCTAGTCGTTTAGATAATTACGATTCATTGTAAAGAAAAAGTCAATGATGCGATTAAATAAGAGTAAAAAACTGTATTAAAATGAGTTTTTATCTTTTGACTGCACAAGGGTGCATCAAATTTTGTATAGTACAAGTTTTTATTTGTTTTACTTGTTAAAAAGACAATTTAAGAGTCACGTGGGCAATCTAAACTTTTATAAGGCCGCGGAAGTCAGTTATTAGGACTTTAACATCCGTGAGTTTATTTTGTGTGCTTCTTTGGTTCTACACGAGATAGGATCAGTATCAGTACTGTCAAAGGATTCTCGGTGCTTATATTAGTGTTCTTTATTGATAGTCGCAGGCTATGGACCACACCGAATATATTAATTATTCATTTAAATTGTTAATTTTTTCATTCTAACTTGCTGTGGCGCCCGTGAATGTTTTCTGTTTGTAGAATGCGAAATTCATTTTATTAATCAGTTAAATACTCTGTGTCCTTTTCCGCAACAATAAGTAGGGGTCACTTTCCTGTAAGATGCATGTTAGCTGTGTATAAAGCACACCATTTAATGTCTGTGCTTGAAAGCGTCACTTAAAATTACGAAACAAATTTCTATAAGAAAATTGACCGATTACAGTCCAGGCTAATTGGTGCTTCTTATCATTCGTAGTCCAGAGAAAAACAGGAACGGTAACGAGACACACTAAACGCAACTCAAGTCAACACTTGAGGAAATGGAGAGATTCCGAAGCCAGATCTTGGAATAGTTATATGAGTAAAATTATTTAAGTGTTATAAAAATATGCCTTTTTGGAGGTACCTCTAATTGGGGCACGCACCGTATCGCCATTTTGCTACTTTTGTGCTGGAGCTCGATTTATTCGGTATAAATAACTGCTGTCTTTGAAATAACTAGCGCATGCACGTTTGCATTTATTGAAGATACGTTTTGCCTATGATGGCGCAAATCTAAGACACCAAAGTAAAGCACTCCATTCACACAACGTACCACCTGTTGTCGTCCATGTCAATAGATAAACCCAGCGTTGTTTTGCGTATATTTAACTGGATTCAAGCCATTTTCATACTACAGTCATAGTTCAACACATAAAATAGTGCTATTTTGTGTAACTAACAATCAAAATGCTGTGTTTTAGTTGGCATTAACTTGTTTTAAATGACACTAACGTAAGGCTGCATCTAATAGTCCCTTTTTTGTCTTTTATCACGGCTTTTAGCAAATGCCGAAGCATATCGACAAAGAAGTTAAACGTGCTTTGGCTGATAAGACCAGTGATCTAGGCCCACTAGATGATGAAAGCTCTAGCGATGATTCCGTTTCTTTGGAAAATTACCTTGATGAATATGATGAGAACAAAAAATCGGTGTCTTCGGAGTTCAGGTAAGCAGTTTTGTCTTACCATACATTTCTCTGCATTTCTACGTGGAATCTATGACTTTGACTATAAAAGACAACAAGCTTAAATGTACGTTTGATTTGTTATGTTTTTTGATTCAAAGACCTGAATTGGCTAATGTCAAGAACAAAGATTCAGATGATGGTGTGAAACTAAGGCATCGGGTCGAGGTCCCTTTGGACACCCGTACGAAGGGATTCAATAGGGAATCGCGCAAACGGAAAACTCTGGACGAGTACCTTTGCAAAGGTAACATTTTCCAACTCTCTTATTCCTTACATCCATAAACAGGAAGTATTGAGAGCGAACAAGAAGGCAAACAAGCAAAAGGCTCGACTAGAGTTAAATCAACTCCCCAAACCCCGGTGAGTGCCCACATTTGACAGCTAATTTCGTGAGCTTGATTCTAACTCAATATATACTTCCCTCAAGACACAGGCAGATGACAAAGCCAAAGATTTGCCGAAACAGGTATCTACCAAAAAAACGATGGAAGCACGTTTCAAAGGCATGCTTGAAGATGAATTTCAAAATTCTAGAGATTTAGCCGAACTTTTACAGGTAAAACTGAGGATGTATACTGTGATTGGGACAGTTATGTGATGGTTAAAACGCCTTGAATTGCGTCAAAATAGCTTTCTCCCCTTCTGTGATATTTGTGCCGTAAAGTGGTGGAGTTGTTTGCTACTCAAAATAAGGCTCTTGTGTGTTAAACATACTGAAAGGGATTAATCGAAGTTCGTGTTTAATCCTTTTATTATTGAGAATTCGGTAGTGTGGCAACAGCACTGGTGCAAATGGTCGTATTTGAAAGGGCTCTCTGTTGCATACTTTGCAGGAAAGGGCATCTATACAGAATTCATTTGGGAAGCACTTTTGTACGGACATTTTTGCACTTCTAAAGGAAATATATGGAATGCAAATTGGAGTAGTGCCGCATCTGAAGAATATTTGCGATAAACAACAGCCAAATATCGAGGATTTGCTTAGCAAACTGGTAAGATTTGTAAAGAGTTTTGAGGTACACTAATAATTCGTAATTTATTGAAGTCGAAGACCCACAATCCTTTCAATAAAGTTACCTTCCCAACTCCCTACTTAAGGTAAAACTTGGTGCCTTAGTAGTTTGAAGACTATCTTCGTAAACGATTAGGATCGCGAAGGCCTAAAGACTTAATTAGTTGTTGGAAAAGCTTAAATTAAACAAACATTTTTGATTTCAGTGTGAGCGTCAAAAGCTTCTTTCAAAATATGCGCAGTTGGTGCTGCCTCGATTGACCAAATTGCAAAGTAAATCTGCGTCGGTAGGTTGAAATTTCTCACCTAAGTTTCGTATGCCATTGCAAGGGATGCTCCTTTTCTGCGTCAGCTCACACACTCACGGTTTTAACCACATTAATGCCCCGTGCAAATTTTGAGGCTACTCAAGCAAACAGGAAAGCATTTTCCACTTACGATTCGGAACATATCAATGGCCCTGGCATTTTTTTGTGGCTTTCAAGCACTTATAAGCATAAGTCGGAACTCAATAAAGCTTAAATAACTCCATAAATAAATATGCATTTTTAGTCATGCGACCGACACATAGGTGAGTTGATCACAACCGAATTTTACCAAAAACGTGGTAACACATTGATCGGAGCGTTTGTAAAGCAAACTTAAAATGTGCTCTCAATTGCAGAACTATTGCAAAAGCCCGTGTCTTGGATTCAACAGACGATAGGGAATGTCGAGGTAAAGTGTGTTCTATGGAGCAATGGTCGGGTAATAAAATGTATGCTATTCAATGGGATAAGATTTTTACTTCCAATGCACGTGCGGTATTCCTTATGCATAACCCTTGTGACATCTCACTACAGCGCCTTAAAGAATACGTGCAACCGGACGATTCCAATTATGAGATCATCACTGTTGCACAGGAGGAACTGCTGGACATATCAAGTGATTTGGCGCCCGTAAGGCAAGTCAAAGAACCGGTGAGTTTGATGTGATATGTTGTACAAACTTTTTACCCGCTGCTTTTACGAACGAGCTTCAACAATGAGACGTTATACCTACTTTACTCTTTTGGAGACGCTTTATTCACCTTCCATTGCAAGCCCCACATAAGTTTAGGTCTTTAGGACACAAAGAAGGGACAGGTTTAGAGACCTCAAAGAATTTAGTGCTGAAATGAAATGCTTAAAATATTACTCTTTCAGATTAAATATTCCGTACTGGTTGAAATGCGCAACCCACCGAATGGAGAACGCAAATTAATGTCTATCTTCCTCTTCGACAATGTTCTTGTTTGCGCTCGCCAGAGGGTTATTGTCCTGAGAAAGTAAATCAAAACCTTCCTTTACCTCCCTACCCACTTTTAACATTGAGGTTTAAATGGCTGAGCTTGCACAACAGCTCAACGTATTACCAAACTCAGGCGTGGTTGACATATTCACCTGCTCTGCCGGCTACTCCAATGACTAATCTCTAGTTCTTTCAACTTGATGGAGGCACAAAATAAGCATGAGGACTGCCCTGAGTGACACTAGAGGTGGAACGATGCTCCTTATGGTGTCAGCGACTAAGGCATGAATAAGTATGCGAATACTACGTCGTGGTAGAGTGATTTCATGCGTTTTGACACCCATTATCCATCATAGTTGATTCAATACTGATATTTTAACTGTCCAGATAAGCACCGTGATCATTTCACAGTGACCTCTTTTCACTCACTCCTTTGAGTGGGTGTTTTAATAAGTGTTTGAGATGGAAAGACTTACACAAGAAGCAGTCGTTTGTGCACATTTACTTTGCAGGCACTTCACGCAGGACTCAGATAGTGAAACAGCATCAGTTTCTACAAGCGCAAAGGATCAATCTGATCTGATTATGAATGCAAGGACTATTAGTCGCTACGAGGTGAAGTGGTTTATTCCGCTTGAGCAACTGGAGTCCCTCGATTCAAAAGGAATAGGTGAGTCTCGATCATTAACAAGTCATACAAATGTCCATTTTCATGAAAGCTAACTGTTACCCTCCGAGAATGCTCTGATAGCTACGTTCAAATGTACTTTTTTCGTTGATACAGCATTTGATGAGGAAAACCTACTTGAACGTCTCCAAAAGATTGAAACTCTAAAGCGTAAAATAGTGAAAATTCGACAAGAATTGCAAGAGGAGACTAGTAAGTTGGACAAAGAGGTAGGCTTATTATTAATAAAGGGAGAAAATTATGACATTGTTCTTTGTAAACCCATTTTTGTGCTACTTTAGTCAAAAAGGCAGAAATTGAAAATTCCCAAAATTCATAGACTTCGATCCTACCTCTACAGTTTAGTAAGTTTGCAATTTTATATATTGAGAACCCTTGAAGCATTTTAAATACAAAAGACACGCAAGTGTCTGGAACGAATAGTTGAACAAGGTTTTAATCAAGAGTCTCTAAAAGTGTTGTTATTTTCGTTAGCAAGCAGATTTGGTACTACAAACGCCAAAACTGCCATTGTTCATTAGTGCAGCTGATGACCAAAAGTACTGCCTCCTAATGGCCTCTGAAAAGGAACGCATTACTTGGGAGTCTGCCATTATGCATGCAAAGGCCGACTGCAAACTGCGGTCTAGACGCCAAAGCCCTGCTTCGGTATGTTACATTGTTTAACTTCATTCAATGCAACTTTCCTTATCAGTTTCAAAAATCTGTCAGCTAGTGAAATTCTTTAGAAGGCATTTCTGTGTCAAATGTCATGAGAGTGTCTGTGTGCATTTCATCCAAGGTGTCAAAACGCAATTCACTACTGCGACCATTTTCCACCACCATTCGTGAGTCGCGGCGTGCTGCTCACGTGCGTCGGTCGAGCACGGAGTCGGAAATATCACCCCAGGACGAGATACTAAAAAACGAGCTCTCCTACATGATAAACCATTGTAAAACTGTAAGCCACCTCCACACATGTGACATGCTCAGCTTATCCGATTTCACAGCAGCTGTTTGTGCTTTAGGCTGTTCCTCTTAACAAACTGGGGAAAGTGATCATTTCGGGTAAGTGAACTGCTTAATACATGGACAATGAACTTTACGGAATCGGACTAATATTCTTCCTTAAAATTTAGGCAATGCCCTAAGTGGAATCCTGGAAGTATGTGTACACGAAATTAGTGGACTAACCGAACCGGGGCGTAAGTTTCCCTCCTCTCCTACCAACGCAGTTTGATACTTATTAATGTGTGTCTCTCCAGAAGGAAAATAAAAAGGATTTGAATGTTTTTTTGTACCTCAGCCTACTACGTTGCAATTGAAGTTGACTTCTATGGCCTATTTGAATTGGTGGCCAAGACAAAGAGCATAAATGACACAACTAATCCTCGTTGGGATCAGGTGAGAAAGCGATAAATAATTTGCATGCACAAGTGAATAAATTGTATCATAAACCAACTTTTTTTGGCTTTACCTTAGACTTTTATGTTTGAAATTGAGACATCGCAGACAATTTGCTTTACTGTGTTTCGACAATCCATTGTTTTTGGACAAGTAGAGTTGCCGGTACGTTTCCAGTCTCCTTTGCATGTCATCAGTGGTTGCAGGCATTGCCATGCAATTTTCTAAAATCTTTTATTCTTACCGATATTTAATTAAAGAATCAACAAATGAACTGATCTTAGATATGCGCACACAGTTCTATTCAGTAAGATAAGGCGGATGGAACTCCACCTTCACTACATTGCATTAATGACAGAGGCTTACTTGAACGAATGACCGCCGAAGCAGAATAGAAAAGCTATTTATCAGTGAATGAAGCTCGTTCTCAAGCATTTACTTGTTGTCGGAACTTTTAAAATTTAGTTTATCGAGTTGGAAATGAGTATTTTGCGTATTGTTAGCTTGAAGAAGACCAACTTGATCAAAAGAAGGTATCCCACCACCTCAATACCGACGAAAAGGTTTCAAAACCAGTGAGTTCTATGACCTGCCTATTTTTAAGTGGGTTATAGAAGCCGATAGCGACTCACCCATTTCCATGCAATTTTAGGTGTATCTGCAGATATCAATTCTCTACAATGAACGAAAAAAACAAAACGTGAGACCGAGATCTAAGAAGCAGTCAGATGTATTTGGACAGCCTCTTGACGAAGTTTTAAAGTATGCGTTGGCTCTGCATTTGCATTGAAAGAAACTCGAAATGCCTAATCAGATAAATTGCGCCTAGGCATGCTAATTCTACTGGAAGTGATCTTCAAGATGAAATGTGCGTTTAGTTTGCTAGGGATGTCACCAAAACCTCATTCAGAACTGCCCATTAGCTAAGAAGAAAACCCTCCAAAAGTAGCATCTGAGAGCGCTAACTGGTTGTTTTGACAAGTAAAGCATAAATAGAGCATGCACAATCGTTAATAAGAAACTGAGGTCAAAATCTGATTCATCTGGTAGTGATATTCCACTAAGAAGTGAGTCATAATGTTTTGTCATTTCTCTATCACCTTGTTGTATACTTTTGGATAGAATATGAGTCAATAATAGGCTTGTGCTGCAATGAATTTTAAATCTAGACGGGATCAAGCCGACCGAGAGAGATTGAAGAAACAAATAGGCGGGAATAAGAATTACGAGGAGTTACGAGTTCCTGTGCTAGTTACTGCCTGTGTAGAAGAGATTGAACGACGAGGACTTCAGGAGGAGGGCATCTATCGAGTCAGCGGTTCAGTCACTACTGTTGCTCGCCTTCAGGATCTTTTTGATCGTGGTAAGTTACAATTCTCAGCACCCACTCTGAGCTAAAGATGACCTAAATAATTAACACGTATGTTTGTCAAAACACTTCATTGAATGTTTGAATGTTGTTTTTATCATGAAGCCCTACGTATTTTCTATTTGAAGTGTACACGATGCAAGGTAGTCGGATTCGGTCGGTTTTACCCTCCTCCGTATTCTACTGTGGTTTGTATGTGTAATCCTGTCAAAGTTGTTCTAATATCCACAGAATTTGAGTGGTTCCTAGAAAATGCTCAGCACTTCGTTAACTGGGGTAGAATGACGTGTTTGTCTTCATTAAAGCGACGCAGTTGTTTAAAACAAATTTATTTCCATTATCTCAGCCGTAAAACCTCCAATGATCCATTTCGCTAGAAATACCGTTTTCAGTAGGAAGGGAATCATACTGTGCCAATTTTTACATCCTAGATACCAGCTTGGCTGTTAAACAAATCGGCGACTACGACATTCACGTGATAAGCAGTCTTTTGAAACTCTTCTTTCGAGAACTTCCAGAGCCATTAATACCTACAAACAGCTTCAACGATCTTGTTAAAGCCTCAGGTACTTTATTTGACCATATTTGGGCTTTCTATGCAATATATTAAAGCATGATTGTGCAATGGTGGTGGGAGCATTACAGAGCGTCTGCGACTCTGAATGCCAAACATCTTTAAATTCTGGGCAATAATAATGGTAAGTGGAATGGCAGCATTGCTCAAGGTGTGTTTGTCCATTCTGAAGCACATTCTGATGAGAAAAAGAAGTTGGGAGAATTCAGTCGTATCCTACGTAAAATGCCTCGAGTGAATTTGGACACCCTTCAATACCTCATGGATCACCTTATTCGGTACGTTAATCTCCCTGGAACTTGACTTTTTTTCAAAATTTTAAATAGTGAAACTGAAAATGCGCAAAGCACCGGAGTTACTTGTGGTGTCACCTGTGCTTTGCTCACTTTCATGCGAAAATGGTATACAAATTGGAATTAAGCTGTATACATCACTGTCTAATTTAAATTCACACAGTTTGCCAAAAGCAGTAACTAGGTGGAAAACATTTGTTTTACTCTCCATCATTTCTCATGTTAATGTTTCGGTATTCTTTACATTGAGGGGGCGTATTACCATCAAAACAAAGGTTAGGTCAAGTTTAAAGTTTAAAGATGAGGGCAATATGAATTTTGAAAGTCCAACTAATTTAATCTGGCGATCTAATTGCTTCTGGGCAAGGTTACATGCTACGCTCCATGGGACTGCAGTCAATAGTTACTGAAGAGATTTCAGTTTAATAGGTTATCTTATTGGTACTTTTTTAAAAAGTTCACCTCATGTATGCAGTAAGGCACTGAAACGGAGATTTGTGAAGGTGACCCCTTTTTTTCATTAGAGTGAGGCACACAAGATAGAGAAGATATGCTTGGCCTTGGGGACTTGTTTGTTCCAGTGTGCCTTCACAAATGAACTGATTCACTGCAATTTCAGAGTGTGCCAATATGAGTCGGAAAATAAGATGAACATTGGGAATCTCTCACTAATTTGGACAATGACCCTGTTCCAGCCAGAGAACGTACCTACAACCCCAAAAGCCTCATCTGCGACTGCGGAGACCCCAGACGCCAAGAAGGCACCTTCCCAGTCGTTACAGTCGGCAGCATCGGTCGGCGTGCTGCAGACTATGATTTTGAGTACAATTTTCGATGCCTACGCTAATGGAAAACTGGATTTACCTACACATAAAAGTACTTTTTAGATTATATTTATATGCTGCTTCTTTGTACCCACCTTTTAGTAATTTCTCACATAAAAAGTCGAATGAATTCACGGTTTGAGGCCTCTCTCTGTAAATAAGGATTCTTATAAAAAAAAATCTAGTGCATGACTAGGCCTCATAAAACAGTGTAGTAGTGGGTGGAGGATTTACGCAAAATCAAGCTCTAAGATAATAAGAATTCGTAGTTATTAAATCATTTCGGCATACCCTTTGAAATGTTATTGAAGAGATGTGGTTGGATGATGTAAATTGGGATGAGCACGGTCTAACGAACCACTGGATTATAGTTTCAGCAGCTTTTTTGAGTCTCTGTGACTATGTAGTTGTACGGTTTTGATAAAAAAAACGCCTTCAAGGGTAATAATTGGTAGCAATACTTCAAAGGTGTCGGCAAAAATGGACAAAGCTAGCTATACCGACCTCCTTCTGTTTTGATGCAACGGGGTTTGGATTAAAGCATGAATTTTTCAACTGCAGAGACCACGTAATCGTCGTCTTAAACGTTCGGCAATCTGAAATAGCATTGCTTTTGGGTTGAAATTGCCCCTGCTCAACTCCATCGAAACAAACAAAACATGAAAAATACCCATCAACGTTGATTAACCTGCATTTATGTGAAAGTACTGGCGATGTTTTTGAATGTAGTGAAAATAGGCTACTGGGACTCGATGGAATCTTTGGACACCTCGCGTTGGTAGTTAACTTCCGGATAGTCGTACCTTCTGTATTCGATGAAATACTCATTTAGAGTTTAGAGCAAGGGCTAAGTTTGCATACAGTTAGCGGTTCAAGGAGCCAACAGTACAGGCTCTTTGTTCGTTTACAATCATTTATAAAATGTTGAGTGAGTTGTTTAAGTTGAGGTTAAGATATCATGTGATCTGCAGTTAACTTGACTCCTTGATCTGCTTAAAATTGACAGTTTCGACAGTCTCATTTGTATAATATTCCTGTGTGTTTGCCATTTATAAAGAACGAAGAACATAGTTTACAGGTTTATGGGAATCAGTTTGCTGATTCGGTTGATTTTGCTTTCAGTGGTGGTACGGAGTCAGAAAAGAATCCATAGCTCGATACTTTTTGGTAGAGGATGTTGTGAGCTTGTTGCAACTTTCACTTTTTTCCCACAAGCAAGACTACTTGACGCGCAAACTGCTTTGGTCTTCACTCATGTCTAAATCAGCCCAAGCACAAGTCTTTTCCTTTATCCTCCTTACTGGTTTTCTACCTGTCAGTTTTCAGTAGTATGAACTTTTTACATTGCATGTTCAGACTTTACTTGACACTATCACCTTTGTTTGGAGTCCAGCACATGCACACATGTGTCACATGGATCCAAAAGGATTCAAGGAACAAACTTCTGATATCAAATGCCATCTATAGTGAATGATGAGGCCCAATTTATGCTAAATACTATTTGCTCCACTAAAACAAGCCTTCACAAACGCAACAACCGAGACTGCAGTGTGATATACGTCTTGAGACTTCTTTCAGCCTAAAAGTATAGGGCTTTTCAGACCCGGAATTGACCTTACTTCCAGAAGTGCAACCAATAGCATCTCGTAAATAGTAGTCTGCTAAAAAATAAAAGAAAACCTATACTGCTAAAAATGGGACCAAAGGCAATTGCTGTTTTTGCAAGTTTGAGATATTTTCTGTGTATTTCTAAGAAAAAAAAATCTGGAAAATATATTTCACCTGCTTTTCGTGTAGTCCACGCCTTAGCAACAAATGGCGTTTGGCGAGAGCACGTTTTATAAGCCTGGAGAGATAATTAGCTTGGCAATGCCATTGCTAGCAACATGGAAGCTTCATGTACGACGGATTCCTGATGACGGGCAGCTCACAAACCCATAAAATTTTAAATTTGCATAAGGAGAAGTAGAGATCCTAATGTGTAATTACCTCAACTATAGAATTATGTTTCGGCCACTCAAGCTTTCCAATGTTGCCGTCTAATTTATGCTGTAGAAATGGGCAATAAATGAGTTCACCTAGAGAAAAGCCCCGTTTTAATTGCCACAGGAATTGGCCGGCTATATTGAGAATATTACATTTTTTCGGCACCATCGCCAAATTTATACCAGTGTCAAGAGGACTGCATCACAAAAAAACTTAAAGCACAGTTATGACTCAGAATGACTGGACCACAGGGAAGTTATTCCATGACAGTATCGTTGAGGCTTAATTGCGTAAAGGTGATCGCAAACAAAAGTCCCATTTCTACCGGCCGAGAGTTGTAGGCGTGCTGCACGGATCCTGGAAGCAATCGTGGGTTTCAACTTTTAGGCACAAAAGGGGATGCGCTAATCTACGTAGTAAGAAAGGATTTACTAAGTGGGTAGACTTATTCAAAATACATTCAGTGGTGTGCTGCAAACTTTTGTCGGATGAGATTAAGAAAGATCTTGATTGTGGATTTGCTTCAATTCAGCACAGTTGCCTTACCCCTAGATTGCGTCCCTTGGAAATTGGGGAAAAAACAATCTCAATCTGAGTAGAAATGTGCTTTAAAACTAAAAAGTTAATTTCCTCTTGCAATAAATGGCATAGCAGTGTGCACCATTCTGTGAGACAATGTTAAAATCAGACGTTTGAACTTTAAAACTTTTGCATTTGTGCGTCAATTTTGTAATTAATTCCTGTGCAAAACAATGGAAGGAAGTTGTCTGGAGTGAATCAAGAGCTTTTAACGAAGTTCTTTTTAAAGGTGCAACTTTTCAATCTCTCGTACTCACTGGTTTAGAGCATTTGTGAAAATATTAGGGAGACAACATGAATTAGTAGTGTTAAATTGCAAATATTTTGGGGAAAGAAGGTAGTCTTTTAGGGCGATGCTTATGGCCTTTAGAGGCACTGTGCTTCCTCTCCCTTAAAATACCACCTTGTGAAATTAGACACGAACATTATTGTGATATTCTGAAATAAAACTCATTGTGTTGCACCGAGACCTCTTTGTAGAGGAGAAAAGGCGTAACATTTCGGCATAAAGGAAAAAAAACTCGGAGCTTTTTGCTTGGCTCGGTTGTTAGCGCGCCCGGTCTTGGCATTATGGCCACCTAGGCGATCGCAACCGAAACCGGCGGTCAAGCAAACAAAATAATGCATATTTCACCATCACAAGCTAACCTACAGTTAACTGCAGTTTTCATGCATCCTAAAAATCTCTAGCGTGACGATTTTTCAAACCTCGGTATTTGGCCCAGTGTTTCCAACGCAAAATGAAGGAAGACAAACTAACTTGGGAAATAATTCTACTTAAATTTTATGCTTTTGTGAAATAAGGCGACTTATTTTACAAACAGCCCAAATTTGTAAATATTTCCCAATCCTTTTGGCAAATAGTGTAAGCGATCACTGGTAACACAAAATGCGGGTCCGTTGGCAAGGCAGAGCCCAATCAAAGGCAATGCCGTCCACCAACTCTCGACCGTGTACTCCTGCACACGAGTGTAAAATACCTCCTCTCCTCGTAAAACCACCAAAGATACCAAAATCCTCCTTCCTTTCTGAAATAATTAATAGCCAAGTAAGTCGAAGGCTTAATCCCATTAACAGATTTAGCATCGATGGTTTTGTATCTTATTAAAACGAATGAGCCCTAATACTTTAAAACCTTTACCTTTTAAGCTTAAGCTGTGCTTTGTATGTAAGTATGCACAAGCTTGTGCTCAAGTGAATTGAAACGACGGCGGTGTCGTAATTAGCTGACTCTTTCATCGGCTTGCCCATATTCATCATGGTTCAAGGATCACTTTTTTAGCCTTGTCACTGCTATTCCAAAGCTTTATTAGCTCACCTATGAAAAACATTGCGAGAATAATGGTTGGGCTGAATGGGTAGCCTTTTGTTGCAGGCTTTAACAATTTGTGGAGAAAGGGTTAAAGTGTTTCACATTTAAAAGTAGCAGTACTACAGATCCGTGATAGAATTGCAGCAAAACAATTATCTGGTGCAATAAAACAACAAAAAGCGGATTTTATTTAGAGTAGTACTGTAGACTTAATGTTTGAACCCACTTTAACTGCATAAGCTTTTGATGTTCGGAATTTGCACCTCCACCGGACCACATGACTCGCCAGACATAGGCACAGCTTCCCAACTCCTCTATGCTTCGGCATTAAATGCTGGGAAAGTTTTCAGGCATCGTGCTCAAATATTCTGTCCTATCACGGTTTTGTTGCATCGATTTGAGGACAAAGATGTTTCATCAACATACAAATTCGCTCTTTCTCAAACTGACTAAAATCTGATACTTCCACATAGATTATAGGCTTTCAATCTCGACCAAAATTTGCTCCCCAAATAGAGCATTAATAAAAATTAATTAGACTTACATTGGAAGCGCATTAGTTATATGGTCTGTTTTTTCTGAGAGCACACTTTTTCTGGTAACGAGTGCTATTCATAATCTTGTAATAAGAATTTCCATTAATAAAAAGGTATCCACTTGAGAACTTGGAGCTTACTTTTACGAAAAAAACAAATTAATCATTGGACACTTGCTACGGTAGATGCTATCGGCGATGAGTCGTTGCCCCGATTGTGCACAGATCGCTCCCAGAAAATCTACTTCTAGGCGGTGCAGGTTTTGGTGATTTCGCACATTTGTATTGTCGTTGTGCGTAATGCAATGAGAGAAACTAGACCTTTCAGCATTATACAATTTCCACAAGCATCATTTTCATTAACTACTTCACCGTATCTATCCTGATTCACCCTCAGGAAAGTTCACCTCAAAGTGGAGCACTTTCCAAGAGCTCAAGTCAGGGGATATAGTAATAATGAGATGCTGCATAAAAGCACACATTGTCACATTTTGGAAGAAAACTTTATAAAAAAACTGGATCATACTCCTATCACAGCACATGAAAAACACATCCTGTTTATAAAATCACAAGGCGGCAGATTGGATGGACTAAAGATTAAAAAGTTTCCTAAACTCCTCATTTTTCTCCAGCATTTGAGCGCGTTTTCTAACTTCGGGTTCAGGATCGCCATAGGACGGTGGGATTGAGAGATCAGCATAGCCAAAGTGACGCATCATCTCGTAGGATTTGGACTTTTGAATTAGGCTTGAAGGAATTCCAGATTTTGGTAGAGACCACTGAGTCAGCGCTTCAGTGTAAATCGGAAAGACCACTTGCGAGGTACTTCGTTCCAGCCTATAAATATAAGAGGGCTTTCAGATTTGAAGGTAAGTTCTATGAAATGAATCATAGCACAAAAGTTGGTTTGAAAAAGCGCGGTAGTCAGTTGAACTGTGCCGAAGCACAACCGTCCACCACCCGTAATTTCAGCTTACAGCACACCTCCAAACTCATGAATGTTTTCTTAAGAGAGTCAAGTAAGGATGTCGTTCATCTTGTATTAATATTACAAGGAGGTTGAAAATAAGAAATGGGGACATGTAAACTGCTTCACAGTCTTATCCTGTAGGAGGAAAATTTATAACAAGATCTTGATCAAACAACTTATTCAGAAGCATAAGACTCATTTTTATGCCAGTTGATGTGATTTTTGTTGAACATGTTTAAAACTAAACAAAGGAGTGCCGATTGTGCAGTTTTAAAATGTTATTGAGAAGCTTCGATCGAGGTGGGAGCCACGTGGGCGATAAAACGACCTTCGCCTGAACCACTACTAAACATACCTACAACACCTAACTAAATTTATAGTTGCGTCTGATGCCGATGCATTGCTTTGACTAGATCCTTAAAAAAAATGTGTTCTAGCATAATCGGTACTTTTGCTTTCAGATCAACCCATTTTTCTGAGAGTTTTTTAACTCAAGCAGTTAAAAATCGAAAATGGTGCTAAACACTTATTCACTTGGTAAGGGTGATGTTCGCAAAACGACTCAAAAGTAGGTCTCGTTAATTAATGGTAACCTTTTTCATGCGACATACAACAATTACGGCATCATTACTTAATCAGTCTCTACTGCATTTCTGCTCTCACTTCGTAAGTGGTGAAGATATTCAAAGAAAATGAGGAAGCTGGCTCACAAATTAGTTTTGACAATGGAAAAACGCGCACACACGGATCCAAGTCAACATTCAGAACATAAAGGCATTGAGCAGAATATCACCGCTATTGGATTTGTGGTGACAACTATCAGATGGTTGAAAAGTGTGTGGAGGGCAGTGGAAAGTGATTGAGAACACCACGCTTTAATTGCAATGGCATTGATGTTTAGTGAAGGCCACTGATGAAAATAAAATTGTGCCACCAAACATTGTGGATGCTATAAATTGCAAAGTCGTGTTAAATTAGTTGAGGCCTGTAGTATCAACTTAAAATGGTTAATGTTCTCCAAGCAAGTCGAGAAGTCCATTCTTATGCGTTTATAATGAAAGTTTTAGTTAAAACGCATGTTTCAGCCCGTCCACTCAGTACTTTAATGTGAACTCTATTTCAGGAGGAAGGTGTGGAGGAAAACGGTCTTTGAAAGTGTGGACTTTTACCGAGGTAACAAGCCGGGCAGTATTCAGGTGACATCAGATCCGGAAACGAAGTCAGTACAGCAATTCCATGCGTAAAGCCCTTTAAGAATGTAACTGAGCAGTTGTTTTCAGTAGCAAAACTACACATCTATGCTCTCCACAATGTTAACAACTAAGCAACTAAAATCGCATCTTCAAAATTTCATGATAAGACCTTGTTTGAACAAAGAGGCTTCTCCTTTTTCCCCATTGGAGGGAAAATTTGGTTAAGTGCTCCCTTGTATGACTAAAGTTACAAAAACATTCCAGACACACAAAAAGGTATGCAGTTTAATTTTGCTTTTGATCAGATGGGAGAAATCTTGCCATTATTTTTATGGCTGTAGTCTTTGAATATTGAACAGTACCAAATAAAAGTGACTACAAATAACCAAAACTACTTGAGTCTATGCAGTTCGTGAGTGTGCGTCCACGTCGTTTTCGTGACAATCGACACTCATGGATCAAAATGTAGCATTAGCATTCCCAATGGCACAGCATGAATATAATTCTAAAGAAATAGACATTAAACATCTGGAAAAGGGTAATCAGTGCAGGTCGGGTTTTTTGTTTAATGCATTCTGCATTAGGTGGCCACTCGGCACAGCTCCACCATCCATCACTTAGTAAACACTTGGAGTAAAAAGCAAAAGCTCTAAAAATAGGCATTTTTTTCGGAAATAAAAAACAATATCGAGAAGCATTACCAAGACCATTTCATCAAAAACTTGAGGCATTGAATAAATTAAAGGCTGAGAATGATTGGTTTGGTGGACGGCTGACAGGTGTGTGTCTTGGACTATTATCAAAACTGGTGGTGGCCTGGGATGAAAGATCAAGTACTCGGAGAACAAATTTGAGGTTCTATGGCGAGACTAGGTAAAGTAAGAGAGTTTATAAAGGTAGCTACTTATGTTCATGAGACTGAGAGCCAAAATGTTATTCCACAAAGTGTATCTATTTGCTTTATTCTGACTTAATTCCCTTACTGAACTGGCGTCTGCCAATCAGTGAGCGTTTGGGGGACGATTAGAGGTGTGCTGTACCAAATTTTCTGGTTTCCAAACAATGCCTTAAAAGGGGAAAACAAAATAAACGAACATACTGTGGAAGATTCACTCCTCGCATATTTTGATCATGCTGCAGCACAACTTCGTCCCACGGGACACCGAGCCATTCTAAAATCAAATATTCACTCATGTAGCTTAACAATGTTTGAACCAAGTTAAGTGGAGAGAGGCAGTAATGAAGGCAGAAGCATACCAAAACTAGTATTTATGTTTTGCATGCATTCGCACTTAATGATTGGCGATATCTGTCCATCGAAATGATCTAACAAAGACTTCACTATGAAACAATTCATTAAAATTGTCTTTCAACAAAAAAGTGTGGCACCTGCCAACGTCGGAATTTGGGGCGAGGGAAGGTAGCAGTTCCAACTGTCAAAAACGATTTTCAGCATTTTTGCACATCATCATTTCGTGAAGTTGGATTCCCGCCTACTTATTCTCCATCGTTTCTCCTGTAAATTTTCGGTAACTCTGTGATTGTACAATCCGCATGTGGTTTTAAATTAAAGAATAATGGTTATGCTGATCATTCAGTCGATAATAGACGCGAAAATGCCATCACCGACCAGAATGGTTGGGAAATAGTACTAGCTACACTCATTCGTGGCCAAATGTGGGATAACAACACAGTAGAGCTGCCACTCCCATCGACAACCCGTCAAGTTCGTTACTGCAAATGTATTATCTAATTCATTGACATGAAAGTAATAGACTAAATTAATTAGCTCATCCAGTGTAGGGTTTGGAAAAGGAAAAGTTGGTGCAAACTTTGAGCTTATTTTACAAGTTAACTAAACTAGCTAGTACCCTGAGCTCTCTCTGAGGCATTAAAGGAGGTGGTGAAACGTGACTCGGATAGACGCACCGAGAATGCCCGTCATCTGTTCCCTTGGTCTTAGCACGAGATCTTCGTAGCGAACAATCCTGCACCTTGATGAGTTTGCGCAGTCTGGCAGCACATGCTTGTAGTGCTTATCCCATGCCTCTAACACTGTTTCAGGTTTTGAGTAATCCACACTCGTTATGCGTATGCGTCGTCTGAGGTAGAAGAAAGGAGTCAATTTGAAGTTAATCGGCACAAAGGAATGGCAGATATAGTAGCACATTATGCTTTTAATAAAATTATTTTAGTATTCTTATTGGTACCCAAAAACCTACTTCCTAAGGCTAAGACTATTTAGTCCAAGCTAGGTGGCTTTGCATTGAGGATCAGCCGAGGCAACGTCTATCGATACTACTACATGTAGCGAAGTTAATGGAAAACGTCTGACTTCTCGTTAAAATATCGCACTTTCACAAAACTTTGACTGAAGCATAAAATAAGAAAAAAAGTTGAATGGGATCAAATTTTTGGACGCATTTAGCACAATGTGCAAGTCAAGGAGGAGGTTTAAGAGGAGTCAAAAGACACGGAAACAAAATTCTCTGAAGACGCATTCGAAATTACATAATTCTTCCTTATGGTGTCTGTGATACACATTGGTTGGTTAAAATGCACCTTGAGGGGTGGAAGTGAGGATGAAAATTTCGATTGTGGGTGCATGCGGAATTGACCGACTCAACTGCTGGACTAAAAAAGGCAAATTTTCCTCTGAATTGTGTCCCCTGATTCCAAAGAAAGCACATATGAATGGATAAGCTCCTGTGCAGCCAGTCAGAAGGCAGACTGACGAGAGTGATGCAGGAGCTACAGCGACTGCCTTCACAGAAACATTGTTGTTTTTGAAATTGCAGCATGGCGAAACTAAAAGCCGTTTGGAAGTTCCAACTTGATGGAAACTCTATTTTTTACAATAGACTAAGGCAACAATAAAATTCTTTCCATTAGGTGAGTGGAATGTCAAATATAACGGAAGAGTGTAACAAAGGCCTCCCATCCTATTTACATGCTTTGTTAGTAAGAAATCAAAGAGTTCCGTCAAAAAAGCGAAAAGTGTTGATGCTGCACACATTATTATTACCTAAATATAAGTTGGCTGGCTGTAAAGCATCATATTTTGCCCATCCGTACGGTTTGCATAATGCAAATTGTAAAGCAGAAGCCTGTTTGAGAGTAAGCAGTCTCAAAGAGAAAATCATGTTTTAACAAGTCCAGTAAATTTGTCACCATCACCTTTAGAAAGGTGGAATTTGTACCTGAGGCTGCAAATAGTGTGCTTTGGCACGATCATCCTGTAGTGCAAAATAAAAGCATAAAAAAGCATCAAATAGTACCATTCACAATACACTAAACACTCTCTTTATCGTATTCGGGCTGCCATTGGAAACTTTTGTTTCAAAGAGACTCTAATTATAACACGCATCACAAACTTGTGGTGGGTGGTTGATCACGTAATATTGCTCAGTTTTAAGTCGTCTTGCAACCCCATTTTTCCTAAAATAACCCACTTATAGCATTCCTTTTGTTGTGATCAAATTACGCATCCAACTGACCGCATTTTTTTTTCGGTTTATTTCGTTATGTCACACTATATAAGCGCACGAAAATTCGCATGACTCTGCCTTCAAAAATCCCATCTTAAAGCTGTACTAACTTCCAATTAGAGCGCCAAATGTTGATTGATGGCTCGAGTACATTCAACTACCTTCCTCATGGGGTAGATGACTATCAAGATCACTGTTGCTCCGATTAGAATTATTAAAACTTGTTTTGGAGTTGGAAAAACGCGATCATACACAACAATTTTGAGATGAAAATGGACAAAGTGGAAAGGCTTTTTACCGCATTAACAGTGCCTGTGGGTCGAGATTTATGAAAGTTGAGTTTTGAAGACCTGTGGATGAACATCTACGAGAAGGGAACCCTTCAACCCGATTATGTGATTAGGTTAGTTGGAACTGATCACAACAAACAGCATTTCATGTCTTTCCTTTTCAACTTTTGTTTGCCTTAGACTTTGTATGGGAAAGATAAATGAGAATTAAGAAATAAAAAAGATATCTGATTTTGTGGATAGGGAAGACTACGAGCAACCTTTAATGCATCACCCGCCCGTTGTCAAATGATGAGGGGCGTTGATTACTTAATGAATCATCTAATGTGCTTCGTTGGCTCCCTGGATGAGGTCAGAGGTCACAGGGAAGCATCTCAGGTCTCATATCCTCCTGATTAACAAGAACATCGCATATACACTGCAGAGGTACAGATTTTACTTCAACGTTTTAACCTATTCAATTTTATTGTAATTCAACCTTAAGGACAAAAGTGCTGCAAGCAACTGTAGAGTCCACAGAAGGAACCAGAAGGCGGTCAGAAATTCCATTTTGCTATTTCATCAGTACGTTAAAGGAAATGAAACACAACAGTATGGTGGACTCAATGTCCCAACAACACGGGGTGTGTAGATGATGATTATGCGTAAAAACCGACTCAGTGTCCACTAATAGTACCCTAATCCGTATCTTAAGAGAACTTGAGAAAAAAAATGTAAGAACCACTTAGATGGGTAAATGTTTTTCATTTTTAATAAGGCACTTATTTTCCATACCGTATTAAGAGGTTGAAGAAGACACGCAATTCTAAAAGTCATCATCTGCATCAATTTATGCTTCTTTTTATGATAAAAGTCAAACATAAAATGGTTTGATGCAATACGGCATTTATGCTGAACTGTCAAAGGGGAAAAAAATATAAACAAGGAGATTTCCTTACAATTCTCCGCTTCATCAATTTAGTGGAAACAAAAGATGAGTAAAAACGCCTACTTTAAAGTAACAAGGTTACAGTCAGTGAAGCAGAAAATTGCTTGTGTTTGAAGACCTATCATGCATAAAAATGCCTCTTGAGGACAACATGCACCAAAGGAGAGCGGTTGTTTGAATGTTTCACAGTAGTAAAGAGCCCTTCAAAGAAGCGGGATCCTAACCTCATAACGGAGTTGGTGACGGCTCGTCCATCGCGCACCATGAGAATGAATTGAGATTTGGGGTAGAGGTGGAGAAGTTGTTTAAGGCAAAGATCAATGAAGGGATCTTTGGCACACAATCGTTCAGCCTTAGGACCAGAGTTGTGAAGCAGCGTGCTGATAGCTCGCACAAAAATGGAATCCACCAGTTCGCGGGTGATATTGGCACCGTGCAGTCGGCCATACATACGGTCAATTTTGAAGGAGTAAAGATAGAGCATATGCGGAAGGATGTGAGTCTCCGGACCACAGCGAACGCTTGGATGCACATCCAGTAGTACACGCATCAGCGTCGTTCCTAAAAGACCACAAGTTGAAACAGCTTTTCATGTTGCTACTGATTATCGTTTGATGTCTTAATTTTCTGCCTAAAAAAATTCAGACAATCTTGCCAACTCTCTCCAATTAATCTACAGCCCTTAATCAAGACATTGGCTTAGTCTTTGCCTAGATTACCATCACATTTCCCACGTCTTGATAAGCATCATTCATAGTGCTAACTATGAACTTTGTACGTTGTGAATTACTAGTCCGTTGTGTCACTCTTTTACAATGCAATGCATTGAAAACAGGCCGATTTTGATCCTTGACTCAGTTTTAACCTTAAACGAGAAAATGTGTCCTTTTTTTTTGATCGACCTCCATGGTTTTTATCGCTTAGCTCATCCAATTGCATTCTGAGGCAGCCAAGGTGAAGGGAGATCCACCACGTTGGCCTTCAAGGTACGAGAAATTGCACTAGCTACGGCAATACTCTATTTCAGCAAGCCTTTAGGGCACATTAAAAACTTTCCAGAGGTGTTAGTTAACCAACGACATCAATCAACTGGTATGCTTTTAAATTTTCGCTTGACTTGATCATCTCAATTTTGCCTACTGCAGAGGGTTATAAAAGACTTGAACTTTGAACAAACTCAACAACGCTCATCATATTTTGCAGTGAATGGGGAATATAAAACCATGTCACTGGCGCAAATAAAAATGACAACAAAGAATTAACTCGTTTGCATTCTCCCAAAAAACAAAAAAAAATCAAGCATTTTTCAGTTAGCAATTTTGGTTCGCGGATTGTAGAAGGTAGTAAAATACATGATCTCAAGGTCTCCGAAAAATGGTAATTGCACCAAACGTGTAAGCTATCAAAATATGCATGAAAAATTACCACTTCTGGGGTAGCCACCAATGAAAATGAAGGGCTCATCGCTTAGTGATGCAGTATCGGTGCTTAAAGGATCGTTGCAGGTTGGAATTATGCAGGGAACAGCATTCAGATAAAAGAGGAGGCCGCAGACGCATATAAGGGGGACGAGGAACAGTTGCAACCGGTTACGGAACAGGCACATGAGAGACATTTTTCACTCCTTCCTGAAAAGTAACAGCTAGTTAAACAGGCGAACCTCATGGTCGTAAAATTGAAATCACAGTTCTTGACATGAGTGGGTGTGGTCACAATGAACCAAACACCAGCAGTCGACAATATTCCAAACAAATGAACTGCACTTGAGTATTCATGAAAGAGCAAGGAAAAGAAAAAAAAAGGAGTTTGCATAAAAATGCTCATCACATGGGAGGAAATGTTTTTTTGAACTAACTTGGTGGGGATGGAAAGACCGCATAGTCTGAACTTCCCATAAGCATATTTTTTAATCTCTTGGTGAAATTACATTTGCGCCATAATACAGATGATAGCTAAAATGTAGACTTTACTGAACTTCAGGTAAAAGGTTGGGTAAATAAAAAAGGTGAATGAATTTTCATAAGCACTTACCGTGCTTGTGGTTAAAGTGCTAAGAGATTTTTCAGCTTTTATTCAACGAAAAAAGTCCTCCCTTTATAATCGTAGAATCGGTTAAAAGCTCTCCATTTAGAAAATTAACCTTCCTGACCGCTGTTTTTGTTCGCATACCCATTTGATGTTTGAGTCCTCACATTATTCTCTCTTATCAACACTGAGCTGCAACTGGTGTGCTAATGGGAATGTTAGCAAGTAGCATCTGAGAGATGGAGTGAACAACATTTTTAAAGGAAGATTGAAAATTTTACAACTTTCACAGCACAGACAATGTAGGTCTTCATTTTGTAAATCAAAATAGAACCTCGCATGCGAAGGAAATGACGACGACAACCAGGACGTTGGTAAAACGATTTGAAAGCCGTCGGGGTAGTCTTAGTTATGGCAGAACTTTTTAATAATTAATGTCTACGTGAATAGCGCTGCTATAAACTTGTTTTAGAGGGAGGAAATAGAGGTCGGATTTAAGCCTTTAAAATTTAAAGAAGCACCTCCAAACACGCTTCATTGAAACAGTTGCGTTAAAATGGCTATTACCTAGAATGAAACTAACCTTGGCTCACGCCTTTCAAAATACTAGACCCAAAAAGGAGCACACTTGTCAAGGCCGATGCGCCAGATCTTATCTTATCATTTTTTTTTCAAAAAATGCTTACGAAGCTTACTGCTATCATAGTTTTGGCATAGATTACTGATATTAGGCAACTTTTAAGGAATTGATGATTTTTACTCCCCGATAGGTTGAACCCAGCTGAACTCCTAGCTCTAGAGTCCACCACTGAATTGGACTTTGAGACCATTCGTTGTTCTCATCCATCCAATCGCACGACTCCAAGAATGCTATTGATATCTGCATAACAGAATTGCATGGTGACAGGCTTTTCTGAGTTGCATCAGCAAAGAAAATATACTTCTAAACTCAATACCACAAGTTTATTACTTTGATGTAGATTTAAGATAACAGAATGGGTTCAACGGCATTAAATGACCCGCATATTTAAAAACCAGTAGGACTGTGAAGCCTCTGCCTCTATTATTTCCTATATTACCGAAAAAGTGGGAGTTCCGGCTTGCACAGAACTTGTCAGCAACTTCAAAGTCAGGACAAAGCATTCAACAGTACTTGAAGGCAAAAAGACTTATTTTTTTGCAGCTTAAATAAAAAAATTATTCTGGCCTGGTAAAGTAGTAGTGCAGGGGATAGGACTGTCAGTGTGTCTCCCTACTTATGTGTGGCACATCTACGGTGGTCTAAGTCCAAGGTTTTTAAAAAGCGAGCAGTCGCAACAAGTGCGCAGATAAAGCTTAGCAGACGGGTTCTAAAAATTTTAAAATGGTGACAAATTTTGACAGAAGTGAAAAGTACGTGGGTACGAAGAAGGAAGTATTGTGGGTAAGTTAGCCCAATTGTTGCGGCAAGAGTTATTACTTTGACAGGGTGAGAGGTTGTCAAAAAAGTAATATGAAACCTAATCGAACCAGTACTTATAAGCTGGAGTTATTGCAAAAATTGCACAAAGTAGTAGAGAATCTACCAAGTTACTTAAAAAGCAGACATCAGTTAAAATCTTTTTTGAGATGCTAAAAAGAAAAGTCTGATTTAAATAATTTTACTTCCAATCTATAATGAATTCATTGGCAGGCATGTTCAAAATTGAAACAAGTCTACCTAAAGGTACTATTGCAGAAGAAAAGCAATTTTGGTAATCCGAAGTGTCAATCCTTGTCCTATGGCAATGGAGGATTGGTATGATAATACAAAGCATGAGATTGATTTTCAGGGTTATCGAACGAACGATAGTGCTAAAAACTGTAAGAATGGATGTAAATGCTTAATACATAATCTATGTTTGTAAAAAGAGTGGTGTATTGATAGCCGTTTAATATTTCAGGACGAAAATGCCAACTTACTATTCTGCGATAGATTTGGAGTGACGAGTGAAAAATGTGCTCAAATACGTACAAAACTTGCTTTAGTATGATGCTACAAGCTTACGTTGATAAGTAATGGCATGGCGCCATAAATTATTCATGTAGACAACGTTTGGTGATCCATAAAGGCTGTTCAATAAATAACCGATGCCTGTATACAGCATGAATATCACACTAAGTAAACCATGAAAAGCAGAGACGAAGTAGTAGTGAGGGGTTTAGCTGCTTGTATGATAATAAACAATGGCCATTAAAATTTTTTTAAATATTTTGGATACTTAAGGAAGCAAGAAAGTTGCACAATACCACAAGATCTACTCAAAAAATACATTATTTATTTAGCCAAATATAAATAACCGGATTTGAAGAGCAAAATATGCCCTAAAAGTTTGTCATTAAATATTGGCCGACGTTAAAACTGTTACTAAAAGTGGTTTGCAATTCGCTATGGGATACCATTACTAGTGAGCAGTCAAAACGCCTTGTAAATAATCAACAAACCATAAACAATTGGAAAAACAACTTTATCAGGCTACCCTTGCAAAAAAAATTATACTTCATTGTCACACTAACAAATAAAGAAAAACTGACACTTTTATGCAACTGCTAAAAAATTACCACCTTATTAATGGAAAGAATGACTGCAAAGACCAGGCAAGACACCGACCACCTTGTTTTCGCAGAAGCGTTACTGCTGACCTTGCTTTGATACACTTAAAGCAGCAAGACTCTAAGGGGCCGACTTTAGTAAAGACTGAGTAAAACAAAACAAAATTATAAATTATTCAATAACAAAGCTTAGTTTATAAAAAAGTTTTTTAGTACTTTTTTACCTACTGGTAAAATATTAATATGTACAGATGGCTGCATTGTGGTAAAAATTACGTCGACGTTACTGAGATAGTAGCGTATCGATACCGCAACTACTTTGATTACCCCTTTATCATCATGACAGTCTCTGAAAGATGACGAGTATTTGAATTTGCAAATATTTTACGCTGAGCAAAGGAATGAAATATCTTAACGTGTATAGATGATATTGACCTTTATTTCAACCAGAGCGCCGACTGCACATTTTACCCCTTTTAAATTGGCAGCTGCAATGCTTTGTTTACATGACCACATGATGTTTGGCGATCACTTTAAGATTTGCCTGGCCCTTGTACACGTGGGCTGGCCTTAGGACCATGCTCAGGCCCATTTGTCCTGCCGTCTTCGGAATACATGTATCCAGCTGCACTTGATGCCTTCTTCTACCCTATGGGAAGTCTTGGGACGCTACAGCAGGTGGTATAAAATCTAACTATTGCAGCATAAATGGTCGGCCTTAGGCTACATAGGCAGTTTCTTGGATCACCAAATCTGATGTGCTTAATTTTACGACAATTTTGTGGTTTTGCATCTCACATGGAAACCTGGAAAGCATGTCATTTAGGACTCATTTGTGTCTGTTCTCCCAGGCATCCATAAAATCTGTCTGCCTAGATCCAATCATTTTAGCGCTTCCAGTCAATAATAGCATTTAACCATGTTATTATTTATAGACCGTTTTTCCAAAAAAAGTACTACTTTCTTTGAAGCTACCTAGCCGCTTATAATTACGGAACTTGCGTTAAGCCAGTCAAAGATAAACTTTAATTAAACATCGCACTAATAGATGGACACAAAGGACTAACCAAAATCATGGCATGGATTAAGAACTTTGAATAAAGAGTTTGCAATCTAACAATATCAAGCTTTAGTAGTCTTATACTACCTACTACTCGTAATTTCATTACGAGTATTATTACTTTTTTCGTACTACGCGTGAAAAATAAAGCAATTTTGCCCTATTAACCCTTGCAGTTGATAAATTACAAAAGCAGGAGATGTAAAAGCGAGGGCTTAATTTTAGGTCACAAGTGCTCAATTAATTAGTTGATCTGTTCCATGTATATGGAAACAAAAGGATCAGATGAAATTCCAATCATTGACGTTCATTTTGCCATCCATAGACCTCTCTTGTGATTCAACTAGAACACGCGTAATTTCTGTCCCAGTGGTTCGTCTGACTCGCTGATGTGCAGGCGCCTTCCCACCTCCAACAAAGCTCGTAGTCAAATGTTTGCAGTTATCGTAGAACTCCAAGGGCTGCACATGGGTTGTTGCTGTTGAACTTGTTGTTGGCTGGTCCAAACAGGCCAGGCAGAGGTTCTGTAAACTATTACTCCTCACACCGTTATTTAAGCGTTCGGCTTCCTCATCGCACAGCAGAAGAAGCCCCGGTCTTCTCCCGTTGGAAGGCAGAGTATAGCAGGGACTATTTCGAGGTCTCTGTGGTTCACAAGACAAAGGATTTTCCGTTCTACCCATGGTAGGACTTCCTTTATCCTTGTCACAACAACTCGCTACCACCTCGAAAAGGGCCTTACTTCGAACTGCTAATACTACAAAAAGCACAACAAGTAGTGGGGCTATTAGACCACAGAGAAAGCTGGATACAATATCAATCGGAGCCCAAGAGGATGAAGTTCTCGACTTTTTGGCTGGCTGTCCCACTGCAGGAAGTTTTTTCTTATCCGTGCTAGTTACTGACGGGATCGAACCAGAGGAAGTCATCGGTTCGTTGCTGATTGCTGGCTTCCGATGAACTTCGGTTAAGCAAAGGGAACGAGAAGCAAAGAGTTTGAATAAGCCCTCAGATAGGACGCCATAGCTGGATTCAGACATCATGGAGCTGAGAATGCACGTCTTGTCCGCGAAGTCCCAATAGACTTTTGTTAATTTCTGAACGCCCCCGAAAATGTATGGGTCGATATAGGAGTAGAAGGCTGGTGAATCTAAATGCATCGGGCAGAAGAGCTTTGGATTTCGGGAGAGATCAATCTCACGAAGGTTAGGAGCACCTTGAAAAGCACCACGAACAATGTAAGTAAGGTTATTGTTGGCGAGGGAAATAGTTTTCAATTCAGTCAGACTGTGGATTTTAGTACCTTCTCGACCGTAAGCCCAAAGAGGACTTCTAATACCAGTTATGAAATTTCCGGAAAGATCTAAGGCTTCCAATTGCGGAGTGTATCCAAGGGCTCCAAATTCTAATGCCTCAGCTGCTGCCAGGGTCTTCTTAAATGTCCAGTTCTGTCGTATAATTCGCGAACTCAAACCCATTACTTCCTCCAAACTTCCAGTCAGTTGATTGTAGGACAGTTGTAAAACCCTTAAATTTCGACATCCTGATAAGCTGTTTCTATCCAGACTTTTCAGATGATTACGATCCAAATACAAGGAAACAATTTCATTTGGGCGGAAGGCGTTTGTTGAGGTGTGACAAAGATTTACCAGTAATCTGCTCGAAAGAGATCCACTCAGACTAACATTTGTAAGTCTGAGTTGCTGTAAACTCATTGGCGTGTCAAAAAACAATGGTTTGTTAGCATCCAGGGTAACTGAACAATCAGAGAAAGCAATAAGTTCTAGTTTGGGTGGAACTTTAAAAAAATTTGATGCATCTACTCCATCAGTTTCCACATGGACGTGATGGAACCATATACGTCGCAGATTCAGTAGTCCCTGCAGCAGAGAACGCAGGGCGAAACCAACTGGATTTTCTCCTACCTGACGAATGTATAAACTAGATAATTCGTGGCAATATGAGAAGACGGGTTTGGTGCGAAACGGTCTGAGCTCTAAAGGACCACTGTAATTGTGCAGATTGAGTTTCAAGCTCACCCACCTTCGAGCACAGGCGATCGGCAGAGTGTTGGTTCCTACGTGGCACTCAGCAGAGTAAGCGGGTGTCCCGTCGTTGGTATCTTCTCGAAGGCACTCGCAGTAGGAGGGACAGATCGCATCCATAGGTCTTGTTAAAAGGCTACGAATTTGAGTGGATTTAGGATCACCATGTAGGAGAGCAGAAAAAATGAGGATAATAATGGGAAGGCAAGGCTGATGCATGGTTAGGAGGTAAGAAGGCTCACGGAGCGTTCGGATGTATGTGTATGTCCGTTTTTCCCCACAGACACGCATGTCTGTGCCAGCGTACTGCTTTGTGCTGGCAAGAATAATCTGATTGGTTGAGATGAGGTCGATTAGGGAAAAGAGCTGTCTCACTTTGACTAGTGGGAGGAAAAAAAGGAGTTCTAGTTAAAACAGGCTCTCATTAGTTGTTGGGTGTTAAGAACATTTTCCGTTGGTATAAAACCTTACGTGAAAGACGTAGACAAGAGGTTGTATCCAAAACTCCGCTGTGACGTAGTGACAAGTATGAAGTCTCTTAAACCGTAAAATAGAGAATAATCTGAAGAATTTTTCCTTTTTTGTCTTTTGTTTGGCCTTAAAGTGCATGCAAAAAATGGAAGTAAATACTTGGAGTAGAAACCGTGAATGTGCAGATTCTTCTTATAGAATGTCTCCCTTTGACCTGCTAAAATTTGAGATGCTGCTTGTGTAATCAAGATTTTAATGTTATAAAACGATCTCAATGCCTGTTTTGAGCCACTTCCAATAATAGTCCTATTTTTGTCCAACATGTATTCACTTGAACTGCCACTCTCCTCAACCCTTCATTTTGTGATTAATAATAAACCGAAATTTGGAAAAAAAATGGGACCACTTAAAAGCGAACACAATTGCATGCTTATTTTACTGCTTCAAGGTTAGCACAGCGAGATGCCATCGGTCACCTGAATTTTTGGAAGGACCAAGGTCGCCAATTCGTGTTGCCAATACTAAAATTCGCAATAAAAATTAATGTATGACGTCAAATTTATTCCAAAACAACACAAATCCGACAAAGCTTTGCATGCGCTCGGAAATTATGCTGATCGGATGGTGTAACATTTGTCTACTTCCAATGAAATGCTAATTGAATGAGGCACACTTATAACCCATCCATGGTGCTTGTTGTTAATTAAAAGCCCAAGTTCGAAACAAGGAATAAGTTTGTTTTATTATTTTGGTTGCAGCATCTGCCGTAAACGGGACCGGCACGAGCGCAAACACCTTCCTTGGTGGTTGGGTGAGGTGGCGTATGATACAGTAGAGAATCGTCATAGATGACTTGTTTGCTTGTTCGTCTGTGTCATTGCGACAGATTTGACCAAACAACATTCCTCTCGGCGGGCCAGAACAGGGGATGTTTAACTTCACCAAAAATTTTTTCCAACGTAAAACAAAAATCGAGGCATAATTTTGCACCCACATATCCACGCACACTGAATGGCATGGGTGGTTGTAACAAGATTGATTAAGCAGGAACGGAATATAACAAAATGGAGAAACAAAATGTAAATCACAGCGCTTCTGATACTTTGAATGGTTGGCCGATCAATCCATCACTGCAAATGACGAAAGGAAGTGTCTCCGCTAGCGGAAGCACCGTTTAGGGAGTTCAAACTACTGTCCTGATGTGTTGTAAACGTAACAGGATCATCAGGTAATTTGTTCTGATTACTAGTGAGATCCAAACCCTTGACTTGATTCGATAGACCATATTGAAGGTGTTTGAGGATTGAATTCATGTCCTCTGCAAGCGAAACCTGAGAGTTAGTGGGCTCTACATAGGAAGGCCATCGTTGAAATAGGCTTGTATTCTCCGAAAGTAGACCCCGTCGTCCCATTTGGGAAACATCCGCACCTCCCTGATGTTCATTCTGAGTCCTGTTACCAGGAGGTGACTAAATTATGAACAAGTTAACAGAGAATAGATCTAATTTACCTTTACCTTAGCCTTCACCTTCATTCGATTTACCATCTAGATGCGACTTACTGGATGAGTGTAGGCGTAGGATGGTGGCGTTGAATCATTGTCAGTGCGAGTCCGGGCGATATCATTCCCGCCAATCATCTTGGCCTGACCGGTAGAACCGATCGAACTCCATGAACCCACGGTGCTGGGTGCACACTTGCTTTCATCCATGTACGACACCCTCTGGTCGGTGGATGAGTCAACAGTTTTTGGCTAAAAAAGTAACGAAGTTAATTAATCAAGACACGTGACATCTTGACACCCCAAAACTTCTACTGCATTCACGTCGATGGCAGGAAAATAATTTTGAATCAAGTTAACTAGAAATACACATTCTTTAAGTGCATTTCTAACTTGTTCATTGAAAACCAATGTCAAACACACTCTTAAATAATTAAAATAGTAAGAGAGGCTTAAAATTTTTAGTAGGCAAAAGTAAGGATGGAGAAGGCATTCAAGCATTAGTAATACTACTTTCAAATCAGTGACTCGAAAATTGGTTTCACGGCCTCACACTCAATCCACACGCACGCACACACCCACCACTGGCTTTCCTACGTTAAAGTCACTGTTTATTCCAATGCTGCCTTCTTTCATTTTCATGATTGCTGATCGGACTCAGCTTTGCCAAGTCCTTACTCCCTTTCGGGTGGAGTTCACAAATGGGACAGACTTTGAAGAATCAAATTAGTGAAATTAGAGTCCATTGATCTCATATTAAAGAGGTGCAGATATTTGGCTGGCAAATGTGGTATTTGTTTTTAAAAGCCAACGGTGGCGCAACTTATTTGTCTGCTGCTGCTACTACTACTGCTGCTGTTTTCGGTTTGTCGCTCGGGGGTTGCGGGAGGAGTTGGAGGTTACAAATAGCCTGCTGATTACTGGAGTGTCACCCACAGAAACGCACACACGTGCATGGTGGAGATGAGAAGGGGAACAAACGTGCAGAAGGGTGGGGCAAGAGCGGGAGTAGGTGGTGTGGATGGGAGACAAAGTGGAGTGAAGTGGTATTGCGTTGAAACGGTGTAAAGATGTTACCCGTAGTAGGTTTGACATTTCTTTTGAAATAAATGCTTCTGTTTTCAAAAATAGCTTTTACACAGTCACACAACCCTCACTGAAACAACGCAAGAAGGTAATGTGACAGAAGAGAATAAAATAACTGACAAGCTTGTCTAAGAGAGTGCTTCAAATTTCTGTCACTGGGCAACATTTATCACTCTACTGTTCAGAAAAAAAAGACTCTAATCGACACACTAAAAATTTTTGATTAAAATGGAATCGCCTTCAGTGCATTACTTCATTCACCCTCAAGAAGCGAGGTTTAAATTGCATTTTATGCTTTTGTGCATTAAATTCCACCTTTGAGGATCCCGTCACCAGTTAGGTATATTTGAATGGCCAAATAAGAGTGATTTTTAGGTGGACAGATTAGCTTCTTAGCTTAACTTACGTATTGCTCTGATGTGCGCACACTTGCAGTGTTTTCACTCACTGCTCCATTGCTGACAAACAGCTTTTGGAGCAAACTAATGTTTGAGATTGTAGGTCTTTGTGTAGCACTTGGATCCTGTTGAAATAGCGAGGAATGCGTCTCACTTCGTCGCATTTCCTCCTGTTGCTGTTTGGAGGTTTGAAGTCGCTGCTTCACAAGATCCTTCACCAGTGCAGCATACTCCTGCGATTTGACCTCGTGGAAACATGGAGAGTTATGATGGTGTTGCTGAGGTGGAGAACCTTGAACATGGATGTGAGGCGTGATTTGTGGATGTGAAAGTGAAGTTGGCGGTGTTTGAGGTGCGTATAAGACCTCAACTGCGTTTCCGTTGGCCAACCCTGTGCTGGGTATGATCACAGGGGTGTTTGTGAACAGGATAGCTCCGGCAGGAATAAAATTAGCACTATGGAGGTAAGAGGGGCATTGATCTCGTTGCAGTGTAGATGAACTAAGAGGAACCTGAATGATGGAAGCACCAGATTGATGCGGCATCGATGATATTTGATTTCCATAGTCAGCGGTGCCCGCAGATTGTTGGGGAAGAATAACGGTTGGAGACAGCTAAAAAGACAAAATAATGATCACCAAGCCTAGTGTGAAGGTTTATTTTCACCTTTTCAGCAAGGAATGAGGAGCAATTGTACACTGAAACATTTACTTAGGTCGGATCAGTAGAACTTTTCACATCACATTGACCCTCGAATACAAATTAGAAGTAACATTTTTTAAAGAGTTATAAAAGGCAGATAGAATGCCACCCACCAAATTGTTGTTTGAAATTTGGGCAGCTTGATTATTAACAGGAATGTAGGAAACACCATTAGTCATTGCGCATGGGATGGATGGATTCGAGAAATTCAGAGTACCATTTTCATCTAATGACAAGAGCGTTATGGCAAATCCACAAAATCACATACATGGTCGTTGGAAGACGGTCTACATTGCGTGTTTCACTTAAAATCCACACACATACCTGTTTACGCACGGCATGGCCAATATTCAGTTTTCGGTCATTGAACACAAGAGAATCGCCCTAAGTGGTTTGATAGCAACTTTATGACAAAAGCTACTTCATTTTTAATTATCCTCTCTGCTGTATCTTGATGTTCAAATGTAACAAATCCATAATTTCCCTTGGAAAGACCTGAGCGATCACTGATGATTTTAACGTCTTTGACTTGACCAAATTTCCCAAAAAATGTTCGTAAATCTTCTTCCGTTGTCTAACGAGGATAAGGTAACCTGTAAACTATGCTACCGTTGATGTGATGCCTCCAACAAATATGCGATTTGGAATAAGAGTCCCAATTTTGGGCACCACAACATTTGTGACAGTAGAAGGAACAGTTTGAATTGCCAACGGATTCATAACTCGGTTTAAAGCCCGTGTAAAGTTGTGTAAAAGACCGGGGGTGGGGCAAATGCGAAGTCGTTTCTTCGTGTCACGAGAGTTTCAAAACGCGACGTGTCAATAACGCCTCACAACAATCATGTGACAAGCAGATGGTTGAGGCGCACCTTTTGATTGAGATGGCCTAGAACTCGAGGTGTCAATCTAGGGGGGATTTCTGGCACGAAATATTGATCCTGTTGTTTGAATTCAAAAGGCTTTTAAAATCAAGTACACCAAATAAAGCTGTATCATCGCACTCTTTTTGCAGGACCAGGACATGGTGGATTATTTTACTTTGCTATTTGAGGTGCAGGGATAATTGAGGATGCCTTAACAAAAAAAACAGGGGAAGATATGAGCCGCAGAAATGCGTCTTTGAAAACGAGATAAAGATCGACTTAATCTTTTGGAAACCTCTTGGAGGAAGGCTTGAAGATAGAACTTTGCCTCTAAAATTGTGAACCAGTACTAATTAAGTGTAATTATTTTCAATTTCAGTTATCATTACAAAGATACTGTTGCTAATACTGGAGCTGAGATTGAATTTCTTCCATCTTAGATTGGCTTTATAAGACTTATTTCTTAAACCTCTAAAGCCTAGTTAGTGGAAAACCATGAAGATGACATCAAAGAATAACTTCGAAAGCATTACCATTGGAGCCGTCAAATCTTAAATGGCGGATAAGCTTGAGAAAGTTATTGTTTCAATTCCTTCGTCCACCCATCATAATCGTGTTGGTAACTTTCCACGATTTTCCACCCGGCAGAAGGAGGCATTAAGATGGGATTAAGCTTGAACCTCGCCCATGCGTGCAAGGGCCAGACGGATACCAAAGTAACCGCCAGCCATCAAATGGTCACATAAACGAAGTATTACAGTGTTAACAGTTCCATCCTCTGTACAAAGGTCAAGAGGCACGATAACTCAATCTAAGTGTGCCTTATTGCTAGAATGATATGAGGAAAGTTTCCCTCCAATTTTTAAAATTAGGGCCAGCGAAATCTACTTTTGGTTAAATCCAAAACTCTATCCAAATCCACGGAACCATAGGTATAGACGAGGTTAGTCAGCCTTTTGAAGCAACACCTTAACAATTGTTTGAATTTTGGTTGCTCCATAGGGTTTTCTGCAGTCCTATCTATGCGGTGAGTTTCATACATTTACTGACAAGAGTCAAAAGCGTGCCAATCTGAAGCATAAAAGGGCACTGAGCCAAAGTTTAGGAATGTTAGTTTCGGGATATGATCTACGCATCCGTCTAGCCAATCAGATTCATGAGAAATTAACCCAGACGAATCCATTCCGCGTCTCAATGACCAACAACCTGGGACAAAGACACTGCTGGCGGTTGAAAGATCAAACTTTATGCCATAATTGCACCATCGTTGCATGCTCTCGCTCATAAAGCGTTGAAATACCGCTAAAAAATCCGTTAAAGGAGGGAGATTTGTTGACTTGTGCAGCATTTAAAGCTTGCGAGACCATTAATAACATCCACTATCCGACTCGAAGGACATTTATTGCAAGCAATGCTGGAAAAAGCCTTTGACAAATCCATTGACATGCCTATTCACAACGTCCTAATCAGTCTTGTCTCAGCGGGCAGAGTGAGTCAATGTTGGTGTCGCGTTTCAGAAAGTTTTTGCCAATTCACAATAGTTCGTCATGTTGGAACACCGGTCAGAGATCGACATCATGAAAGTGAAACGTGCACATTCTTGTCACCGCACCAATACTGACACCCCTCGAAATTCGGCAGCAAGTTTATGCCCTCTCAGTATCAGCGTTTTGACCGTGATGGTTCCACTTGTTTTGAGGAGCAATACAGCGCCAAATTGACTGAATGATGCACGGCAGAATTGGTTTCTGCAGTTATGATCTCTCAAAATGGATGCTCAACCTTGAACTAGTCTGCTTAATGTGGCGCTACATAGAGTTCTTACCGAGGATCAAGAGTAGAACCCTGAGGCTGAAAAGGCCTTTAAAATCCAGATTATGAAGCAGCATTTGACAATAACGAACAGTTTATGTATACCGCAATTCTCCTGAGGTTCATGACGGTCTTCTTAAATCGCATTAAAGAACGAGGATTTGCAGCCATGGTTCATAGTGAGCTGGTAGGATGATCAGGCTCAATGTATCGCAAACAGTTCGGAGTGATGACAACGTTGTTGATTTGTACTTCAGCTCTAGGGAACGGGAGAGCACTTTTGGGAGCTAGGGTAAACTACACAGCGCCTTAGCACCTCGGGAGCAGAGCGATGGCCAGTCACATCAGCAGCGAGACCACGCCACCTAGCCAACACCAACGATGAATAAAACCACTTGAAGTAAAATTGTAGACCGATTGCTGATTAGTCCAAGCACAGTTTGCTCGTGCCTTTCAATTCGCATCCAATAATAATAGGACGAATTCATGACACGTACTTATGATGAGGAGTTCACGAAACTCAACGAAATCCAGATTTACAAATACTTTTTACTCCTTAATAGGACACACTGACGCTACTCTGATGGTCTAGGAAATATCTATTTTTGTTTGCCTATGTTGAATCCTCCTAGTAGATGAGTAACAAATTTCGTGCTCACACAAGCATACAAGACAGATGAATAGTTAATACGGTTGCATTTGATCGTTTCAATGTATCCTCCTTACCTTCCAAAAAGCAGCTACGACATTCTTAAATATGCTTCACTAGAATGTACCACCATCAGGCCTTCAAAAATTATCATACGTGAAATGAACTTGCTGATTGGATAAAATCGAATTTTTAATGAAAATGGCCTCGAATTCACTGCAGTTTGATTTCTACTGTAGGAGGCATCAAGCATTTGCAATTTTCTTCAAGCATTGAATTTTAGCACGATTTCGCGGAAATAGTTTACCATGACGTAGTATAATTATTCCCAAGTTATGCACGGTGGACTGGCAGGTCCACAGCTAACTTGTAAGCTGATGGCAATGAAAACCCGGCGACTCCCACCAATTCGCAAATCAAGACTTAACATAGTGCAGTGTGAAATAACTTCTCTCGGTCTCATGCCATTAAGGTGTCGAATAAAGGTTAATAAGAACGAAAAATGTGACGAATTGTCCACTGAACTGGTTGTTGCAGGGCTAGCCATTCTATTCATTGACCGACAGTTCGGTGATAACTATTTCAGTTAACATTTTGTCCATAGAAGCCTATCCTCCCGACGGAAACGTGACAAAGCCTGGCTGTGCGTTGAAAAAGTCTATCTTTCGCCTCCAGTTTAGCCGCTGTACAGTCAAAGTGGTTGATTCGGAGACGCTTAACATAATGCATCCCAGCAGAGGGGAACAAATGACCCCTACTGCACTGTTGAGTTGGAAATTTAGCAGCATGTGGGAGAGCGGATACAAGCTTTACCACAGTAGACCAAAATTCAGAGACTCGGCTAAAGCTTAACAAGTCCAGAGTTACCGAAACGGTTTCTGAAAACATTTATCGTTATCAGCACTAAGCAATCATACCATTTTACGAAGATAGTTACGAAAATATTTATGAGAAAGGTGTGCATTTTCTACGGTACTAAAAGACTACCCAAATAAGAGCAAACAAAGATCAAGCTAAAATACTTGCATCAAACTCTTCCAACAATAGGTCAACAAAATTTAACGTATTCAACCACCAAGAAACCTATGATTCTGCACCATGATGAATTTTATTTGACAAATGCCAACGTATAAAGTTCAAATGCTCCTATGTAAAAGGTTTCGAAGATGGGCACCGAAAACGATGATAGTAATTCGATCGAGATAGATGTGGGGAACATGTAAACCAACAGGCTAAAGTAGGTAATCGTTCAAAGGTTATGGTAACAAACACTACACTAGAACCGGTGTCTCACTGCACAGGCCCAGCGCAAAAGTGAAAGTCACGTGTGAGCAATCATGGTAAAAATCAATGCATCAGAACCTGAGGATTATTCGAGATGTAAAATCCTAATTGAAAGCAGACTTTGGTTACAACATCCACGGTCCTAGCCATGTTTAATATGGCGTGCCCTGTTGGACCATACGACCCATACTGTTTCGAAAGGCGAGAATGCGCCCATTTTTCATTTTGCTCAAGGTATGATAACCAGTGCCAGTCGTGCAAAGACCACTGTTTTCGAAGCTGTTTCGATTGGCAGAAAGGGCAACCACGCACTGTGCCCTTGAAGACAACTCTTGTGGCCACCGGATACCCACCAGAGAATTGGATAATCAGACGATGTCGACGAATTGATATCAAATGGCCTGGAACGCCAAAAGTAGCAAACGATGATGATGAGGAAGAAGAAGAAGAGGAGGAAGAGGAAGAGGAAGGGGAGGAGGAAGAATGCGGAGATGGCAAAGAATGTGAGGAAATTGTGGAAAATCCGTGTGAAACGAGTAAAATAGGGAACTCAGAAAAAGTGGGAATGCAGGGAGGAACTAATAATGCATCTGCAGTATCTCCCAATCGCGAAACAGAGAGTCCAAGTTTCAGTGAATTGCACGTGGCAGGAGATGGAGGATGCGTAGAAGATGGATGCCTGGAGGTTCCACTAAAAATTCCACTTGGAGAAAACAATCTTCTTCGGGCGCATAGTGATAGTTATTTGACTAAAAGGACAGAGATGAAACTTATAACCGAAGACCATGACGATAAAGGGAACAGAGATGCGGAGGTTCAAGTGAGCATTTGGGAAGAACAACCCCAATCTCCAGAAAAGGGGACAGACATTTCAGTTGGACAGTATCCGATCCTACGGCAGAAGCGAAGTTCGTTGAGACGAATTCTCAGCAATATTTCAAGCATGATTAAAGCAGGTGATTGAACGTACGTTGGAAACACCCTGCTATCTTTGCAGAAATCCTGATTTGTGTTCCATGACCAAAGGATGCAAAATTCATCCCAGTTCGATGTATTAGTTTGAGTCGGTTCTGGAATTAATGCCATAATCTTCAACAAGAATAAAAATATTGAAAAAAATCATACCTAGTCCTTGTTGATCTACGAATTTGATGCACATATGTTAGCATCTAAAGTTTACAGAACCAGTTTCTACGTGTTTACAGAGAGAACTCCGCTTTCTTACTTGGTTCGCAAAAATAAGCCACGTGCAGTCCACAAATTATTGGCCTTGTCTTTTACAAGTACGCGGTCAGTAAAAGCGACTTATGCCGAGACGAAACAAAACCGCTGGATTTATTAATAGTTGATACCAAATGAATAGATAAAAAAGTACGATGATCACGGAAGTTTAGAGGCTATAAAAACGATTTCCCTCCCCTGACTCCGAGGTGAGCGCCTCCCATCAGCCGTCAGGAGAGAGACAGGAAACCGTGCACCCGCTTTCACGAGAGGCAACTTTGTTAAAGTCCACGTCGTCCAGAGACTTGGCTACTTCTTCCGTGGTTTTCTTTGAACGCGGTCGCCGTGCAACACCATCTTCACTAATTGCAATTTCTGGAAGGCCGTCGTTGAGAGTCTTTAGAAGGACGCAGGCCTGACAGAACTTCTGGCTCGAAATATACCCGCAAGCAGCGCAGTTCCCTACAGAACAACCAGGTATGAAGCCAACGAGGAGCATAAAAGCATACCCTGAACGGCAACCTTCACACCCTCTTTGATAGTCATTTGTTCACCAGAAGCGATGATATCTTGAGAGTACAAAAACATTAATCAGTAGTGAATGATGTCAAGTTAGGCAGCTTGTCTAAGGTGTGGTTCAACGCACCGAGGATGCTTCGTGGACGCAGGTTTTCCAGGTCTTTAATATAGGCTCTAACATGGCCCCGATAACTATTCGGTGCATACTTGCATTCCGTTGAGAAGTAGTCCAGCTTTCGCGCATGAGCATACATGACTATTTCCTTTTCGTAGGCATACTTGAATGGTTTAAATCTAGGCAAAGTCCCATCCGCCCCCTACAAATGAATTGTATGCAGGAAATTACACCATCACTGACGCGGAGATTGGAGTGCTACGTTGAGCATAGATAAGCCATTTATTGGATTTGGTAATAATTGTGCAGAAACTCCGCGGTACATGAACTCGGCTTTTAAACGAATGCCGCACCAGGAACAAATGGTAAAACTTCGAGTCATTGCCATAAGGTGCAACTTTTAAATGGAGAAAACAAAAAAATATTACAAGGGCTCAATAATGATTTGAATATTCTAAATGTTTTATGTCACGTTTTATTCTTAAAAACGTGAAAAATTTGTAAACTAATGTATCTTAAGATTGACTGTTACGAAAGGAAGTTTATTTTCTCGTAAGACAATTTTGGAGACAATCATCAAGTAGGTCACATCGAATACATTACGTATCAGTGACACCTAAGACGAAAAAAGTGGTTGAGTTAGAGAAAAGGTTGAAACACTTACGGTTATGATATCCGTACAGCGTTTAAGACGGCTTATATCACACCTGAGTACTAAAATTTAAAGTAGAAAGCTGTCAAAAATCGAGCCACAGTTAAGGAAATTGAAGACCTACTAAGAAAGGCAACATGATTAAAAATATGACTGGATATCCCATTTTTTTATGTGGTACAGGCTACTTAATCGGTTATCACTAAGAAAAGAACCAGATACCATTCATCATAACTGTCTCTGCAATGTCGTCAGCATTGTGCCCGGTGCATATTTTATTAGCGCCAACAAGTATTGCTCCTCGATCAAGAGCCTGCCGACGAAAGACGCCACAAAACGTGCAGTTATTCTTTAAGCCGATTTTCTGAACAATGTCATCCATGGACCAACCGTAAAGGTCCTTGTAGGAGAGAATCTTCAATGGCAACTCATATCGCTCCTGATTGCGCTTTACCGACTATGGGAGAGGACACAATCGTTCAAAGACCATCCTACCTCTAAAGAGTCGTCCCGATAACCCGCAATTCCTTCATCAATGGAAAGGAGAATTAGCTCAACACCGTAGTCATGACGTTCGTTTAACAGTTTCATAATATAAGCAAGGACAGTCGAATCTGTTGAGAGTTTTAGCCGGGTATACAATATCACCTTTCCCACCAGAAGCTCCAATGGCCACCTTATCACCGCGGCAGAGGAGCCTTGCTGATTCTATTGTCCAGTGAATCTCCTCCTCAAAACACCAGAGGAAGCAATCACGACAGAGAACATCACCCGTCTTTGGTCTCTTTAGAAGGCCCTTTGATCCGCAGCGCACGCAGAGAAGCATCCTTAAATCAACAACGTTAAAAGTCTTCGACCATTGTTGGCATTTGAACCGCTCTTGAAAGACAGTAGTTAATATGAACCAATGGTATCACCTATAAATTTTTTCGGAAAGTGTGGCTTGCTAGCGAGTTAATTCCACAAAAAATAATAACAACAATACCAATTTGAGCTCACATGAAATTATTGGGAACCAAAATTGACATTCAGTCTGACACCAAATTCACATGTGGTATTGTAAATCTAGCTTTAAAGACCTAGGTTTCCACCCTTGTACCCGAAATTCCCTACCGAACCAAATCTATGGGAATTTTCATAAAAGCATTCTAAAATTAGTTGAACCATAAAATCATCTAAAAAATGCCAAACCAAATTGTACCAACGAACCTAATATTTGTAAGGTAGCACTGTAGCGTCCCAAGAATTCCAACTAGGCAGAAGATGACATTAAGTTGAGCAAAGTACGAGCAAGCAGAAAGAGTAGAGATTAGGCCTCGGCTCCACCCGAAGGTCAGTCCACGCCTGCAAGGTCAGAGCGAATACCAAAGTTGCCGCCAGTCAAATAGATGTTCACGCAAACAATTTATTACACGTGCTTCCATTAGGAGTGTCTTTTATATTACCATTTCATCAAAAAAGCTAATTGTATTTCTGATGGCTAATAACAGCAAAAATAGTTAAGTTACAGGGTGTTTGGAATACTAAGCCAGTCTGCTTCATGAGGATGAGACAAGTTCTATTCTCTCATAGATAGTCTCAAGGGTATATTTTATTATAATTTATTCAGTTAACTATCTTTAAGGTTGGCTGCCACTTTGGTAGTTAGCTCCTACGGTATCAGCTGGCCTTAACGCCAACTAAAAGTTCCACTTTTACTCTCCTTTCCAAGTTTATGACCATGGCTACTGTAGCGTCCCGAGGCTTCCCATAGGGTGGAAGAAAGCACAAGTGAGGTTGATTATATAAATTCTGAAGACGATAGGACAAATGGGCCTGTGCTTGGTCCGGAGTCCAGCCCACCTGTACAGGGGCCAAGCAAATCCTAAAGTGACTGCCAAACGTCATGTGGTCACATAAACAAAGTATCACACTGCCCCCTCCTGTTTTGAGCGGCGTCCTCGGCGCCCCTTTTTGGTTTATCCCCCTTGTCAGCCATCACAACACATTCGGTGCCTCGAGATTGCACCCACGAGCCAACCGCGCCAGTCAACAGATAACACGAGATCGAGGAACTGCACCTGCTCTTCTCGACAGCTTTAACTGGATCTGGAGTTACGTTCGGTCTGACAACCAGACTCGGTGCCGCAGACACCTGTTGACCATCAATTGCTTCCAGGTCTAGACGGTGGAAGTCTGGTCTAAAACATACATGTTACAGGAGAAACGGGATCAGCCATTATCCCGTATGCGAGGAGAACCGTAGTGTCATTTGCGACACCTAAACACGGATTTTGCATGGGAACTTCCGACACGATACTTTTCCGGTTGGTTCACGGCGGTGTCGCTTCAGTTGTTAATAG